ACGTTAGAAGATAATCTACCAGGAGCACATGCCCTACTGAGAGGTGAACTATGGCAAATATCCTCCCTATGAGGAAATCTATGGGGGAGGCCTATGTTCCGCAGTAGACTTTAGCTAGACTGTAAATATTGCTGACATTAATGTCGATATGTAATTAGTGTCAGTGGTGTCGTTTACTATAGGCATTAGATACCTTACAGAAATCCGCAATGCGTCAATGTTAGGTTTAAGCTAAGCAAGGTGTAAATAAGTCCTAAGGCGATTAGAACGGGGAATAATGTATATATTATATTGAAAGACATGAAACGTCTTTGACGTGTATGTACTTGGAAATATGTCATGATATATACATATAAATAAAATTGGAGTGTCTGGCTGTAATATCAAATAACTGACTTATATTCACGGGGATTGCTCTAAAGAATTGTTCGGACTAATTCCAGCCGATCAATTCCACCATCACAAATCGCAACAAAACTCGCGATACCATCCATACCATCTGGATGATTGGCGGTCCACCACTGTGCGATTTAGAAGTTTTCTTCCTCGCACAGCTTCCTTGTGCAATCGATTACCACCAGCGATTTTTCCGGACCGATACGACTTAGGGACCTACAAGAAAAGAGCCTACTCCTTTTTAAAAGGCCGGCAACGTATTTGCAATTCCCCTGGTTCTCCTGGTGTTGCAGTTGTTCATGGGCGATGGTAGTCAACTCCCCCCCCCCCACTATAAAAAAGCTGAGGTGGTTATTTTACGTGGTAGAGTCATGCTGCATCTATATTAGTAGTATAGTTGTAGCACGAATGACTCGGCTCGACCGGGGAAGGACCGCGCTCTCACAGAATACCAGCGTCAAATAGCAGCTTAACACTGCTGTGTTTCGTATGGTAAGTGTAAAGAACCGGAGACCCTTTTTACTGGAAATGAGGCATTCCATCTTAGGCCTCACGGATGACAACGCATCTGCATTTTGATTCTTTATCGAGGATAGATGTAGATGTCTATGGGCCACAGCAACTACTTACCATCAGGTAGACTGTGTGCTCGTTTGTCACCCTTATCCTATAAAAAAATAGGATATGAATTTTGAATTTGTTGTCTGTCTGTCTGTAGCTGAACCGATTGTAATCAAACTGCCTGAAAAGAACGATAGCTATGCTTAGACTAAGCCAGGCTATATTTCATTCGGAAATCTTGAAGACCTTTTTTTTGTGAAATTGAAAAATTAATAAAATAAATAGTTTTGATGATTTTCTTGAATCTAAAAAACACAACCCCAGGCAATGTCAAAAAAGTTAAATAGTAATAAATTAAAATTGAAGTGTCTATACCTATGTTATAGTTAAATAACTAGCTATATTATGCCTTACCTCAAACCAGGTCAGGTATACCTCAAAACTTGAAAACGAGACTGTACACCCAGTGCGTGTTGCCAGTGATGACATACGGAACTGAGACGTGGTCCTTCACTGCTGGCCGGATAAGGAAGCTCAAGGTCGCTCAGCGAGCTATGGAGAGGGCTATGTTCGGAGTTTCTCTGCGTGATAAACTCAGAAATGAGGATATCCGCATTAGAACCAGAGTGACCGACATAGCCCAACGGATTAGTAAGCTGAAGTGGCAATGGGCCGGCCATATAGCTCGAAGAACCGACAACCGATGGGGAAGAAAGGTTCTCGAGTGGCAGCCTCGTACCGGCAGGCGAAGTGTAGGGTGTCCCCCCACTAGATGGAGTGACGACCTGGTAAGATATGCAGGAAGTCGATGGATGCAGGTGGCTCAGGATCGTGTTTTGTGGCATTCTTTGGGGGAGGCCTATGTTCAGCAGTGGACTTGTGAAGGGCTGTAATGATGATGATGATGATTATGCTAGGATTAATTGGATGCTATTATTAAATTAAATAAATAACCATTTTTTCATTGTTTTCAAAGTTTGAATATTATGATGAATAATCACTTTTGTAATTTTTGTCTATCTGTCTGTCTGTCCGTGCTAATCTTGAGAATGTCTGAACCGATCGTAATGATACTTTTCGATTAGATAGAGAGTGATGCGAGGAAGAATCTTGGCTATAGTTTATCCGAAAAACATGCAAGAATTTTCTGTAAATAAAAAAAATTTACAGGTGTATAGTTTTTGATGTTTTTGATCATTATCTACTAAACTACTATATATATAAATATTATTAATTATTAAAAAAAAAACGAACAAAACATTTTTATGGTTTGCGATTTTTCAAAATAAAGTCTCTACTCTTTATCTTCTATTTTTTTATAGTTTTGATACAAAGTTCATTTCTAAAAATTTTCTATACTTCAATATAATTTTACAACAAAACAATTGAGTATTAAATGATAAGGTGAACAGATCTTTATCACCTTATCATTTAATATCTATCTAATGAATGAATAATAAATATCTATTTAAATGCTGGCAACGCATCTGCAATTCCCCTGGTTTCCCTGGTGTTGCAGTTGTTCATGGGCGGCGGTAGTCACTTACCATCAGGTGAGCCGCATGCTCGTTTGCCCCCTTTCCGATAAAAATAATGGTCGAACCACGCTCTCACAGAATACCATCCTAAAATAGCAGCTTAATGCTGCTGTGTTTCGTATTGCGAGTGTAGAGAACCGGAGACCTTTTCACTAGAAATGAAGCAATCCATCTTAGTCCTCAAGATTGACAACGCATCTACATTTGGATTCTTGATTGTGAATTGCTGTAGACTTCTATGGGCCACAGCATCTACTTACCACCAGGTGAATTCTGTGCTCGTTTGTCACACTATTTCTATAAAAAGTTCTTTAGTTCGTTTTTCGACAATATTACTGTAGGGTTTGAAGTTGTTACTATATTTCAATCTAAATAAAATAGGTTGACTTTGATTTTATACAATTTTAACCCATTACAAAAAATGAGAATTCTCAATTTGTCTGAATATATTTTTAGGGTTCCGTACCCGAAGGGTAATTAACGGGACTCTATTACTAAACCTCCGCTGTCAGAGCCGTCTGTCCGTCGGCGGGCTGTATCTCATGATCCGTAATAGGTAGACAGTTCAAATTTTCAAAGAATGTGTATTTCTGTTGCCGCTATAACAACAAATAATATAAATTAAAAATATAAAAAAGGGGCTCCCCTACTAGAAATGTGTATTACAATGGTACGGAAACCTTCATGCACGAGTCCGACTCGCACTTGGGCGGCTTTTTATGTATGTTCGGGCGTCACTACTTTGTTTGTGAACCGAATTTTAATGGACCACCGAAAAAAATTGATATGGCACCACCCCAGAAGTTGATGAAGATGAAGTTTTATATCCAACTATTTGGACAACATTCTAGTTGTTTTCTTGAACATGTGCTAATGCTTAGTGCACTTAAAAGGGCAAAAAATCAACTTAAAAGAAATTAAAAAAAAACATGCGTGAGTGTCGTGGAACACTCGGTTGGAACCCTTTCGTAGTATATTATTATTGATAAACGCATTATAATATTGATTAGCAAATACAAATTAATGAATTACTAGAGTCTATTAAAATAAAGCGTCATTTAAAATAATATTTCTTTCATGGCAAGATAAGAAAAAGTGCGAAGCAGATGGATATTATTCCATCCCGCTTCCTCAAAGCCTTCCACTAGAAGGGGACGTGACTTTTTTTCACCTAGGCCCCATCCACCAAATTTGTACTGTCCGATATGGAAATTCGTTCCAAAATATTCTTTACAAACTAAAAAAAAAGTTGACACATAATTGCTCCGAAGTCGATGTTAAGAGATAGTGTATCGAAGATGTCCATTTGTTTATATATATATAGTAACGTACAAATTATTTTATTGTTTATAGTTCTTGAAATCTTTATACATATATATATATATATATATATATATATATATATATATAGTAACGTACAAATTATTTTATTGTTTATAGTTCTTGAAATCGCTTTTTGAAGTGAGAACTTCTTTAAAATACTTGTGATTTGAAAGTCGATGAAACGAAGAAGCTACAATAAAAAGAGACAAACATATATATCTATAGGATTTAGCTATTTTTTTTTATAGGAAAGGGTGACAAACGAGCACACAGTCCACCTGATGGTAAGTGGCTGCTGTGGCCCATAGACATCTACATTTATCCTCGTCTGCGAATCAAAATGCAGATGCGTTGTCACCCGTGAGGACTAAGATGGAATGCCTCTTTGCCAGTAAAAAGGGTCTCCGGTTCTCTACACTCACCATACGAAACACAGCAGTGTTAGGCTGCTACTTTACGCCGGTATTCTCTGAGAGCGTGGTCCTTCCCCGGTCGAGCCGACCCATTTGTGATACATTACTACTACCGTGTGTAAACTGCACACTTTGTTCTAATAATACATATTTGATATTTATTCTGTTAAAGTTTATTATACAGGGTTATTTTGCAATATCCGACCAAATTGCAGAGAAAGTTCAGAAAAAGTAATATAGGCAGATAGTGAAGAAAAATTAATTTAAAAAACCTCAAACATTTTGTCCTTCTTATCTTTTAAATTCAAATGTTTTAACTGATTTTATTGCGCACGCACACATTCGTTAGGGTCAATCGGTATGCAAAAACATTGGAATAATTTCAAATAAAAGTTGAAGCCTTATTTACTTCAACATCTGTAATAACGGTATATCGTTATTAAATATTTGAACTTAAGTTTAAAATTTGGCTACACCTTGAAAAATAAGCCTTTATTTTTGAATCATTTCATCTTCCACCTTTTTAAACATTTTTATAAATGGCGGAAAAAACCGCGCGCGCCACCGTTTTGACGCATTCGAGCAAAGACAATTCGCGCTACAGCCTTCAAAGTGATGGTATTGCGGCTGAAAAAAAAAAATTACGCGAATTTCACCGAAAACGGAACGCGGCGTGCGCGCGCATTGGCATCGACCCGGTAGGCGATAGGTGTTATCGTCACTCCTTAGTACACGTCCGGCCGTGGCGCAGGTCGGACGCGTTTCGTGTATGGGTGAGTTACAGTACCCCGGCGCACCAAGCGTCGGTGACGATGAAAGACAATACAGGGCGCCGTTCCGCCGCGCCCCACAGTACCGATGGCCGGCACCACAGCCCCCTCAGCCTTCGGCCTTCGCCCCGTGGCGCAGAGCACCTGCGCCTCCCAGGCCCCCAGATTACCGGCGCAGCGCATCTTACCCTGGAAAGCCGGACGAGCCTTATCAGGTAACATATGTTTTACAACGCCTAACAGAATTAAGCTATTAAGGCATATATTTGCTCTGAAATTAGTTTATTTAATGTTTTTGGTCGCCTATTTCACAATGTCTATGTTGTTTTACGATAGAGTTGTATTGTTTGTATAGGATCGTTTCATTTGAAATTTTATCTAGTTTTTTTTTAATATCTAGAATACTTAACATTGCAAAATATTTGTTGATTTTCATTTTATCCCTAGGAAAATTAATCTACTCTACGATTTTTATTGTTATCGTAATGTTTTGTGTTACAAAACGTGCAGTTTAACATATTAAATAGAATTGTTTGAGCTATGTATTCGTACTACGTTAGATTTTACGATATGAGAGTGTGGTGATAAGAACTGTATATACTACATAATATTAATTAAGAACGCATTTTAAACCGTTATTCCGTGACAGCCTGTCAAAAGTCCATTGTTGAACAGAGGACTCCACTAAAATTGCCATCATTGGGGGATATTTGCCATAATTGCCACGCGTGGCAGGCTTCACAACCGCAGTTTTACTAGTTATTGGTTTTGAGTAGGTAGACGCTGGCCATTTCTTTATTTGTTTCCCTCTGTCGCTTCTTACGACACCGACGGGATGATATGGGGTAATGGATATTCTTACACCGCCACTACAGTCTTTTTTAAGTCTCTATATAAAGGATAATAAATCAAAACTTAATCAAAGTGTTGATGATCATTCGGTTCGGATATTTTATACGAATTATAATTTAATTTCACAAATTATTAATGTGGAAATACTAACGCAAAAAATCAATTTATCTATGTTATTAAAATATATTAATTTAAATATTTATACATTTATTTACATAACATTTACAATATGAAAAGACTGTATTAAAGAAAAACTAAAATTAAAAACTTATATATCATGCAGTCTTACTCCCCGTGGTACCTATCTAATTTAAAATTCTATATAAAAATAACTTACATTTAAACCTCTTTTCAATTACATACAAATTATCACAAATAATAAAAACCAATAAAAATATAATAAGAATCTACATAATAACGATTAGTTAATTGGTTACATGCATAATAATATAAAATAATTAAGTAATTTACTGTGTAGTGCCGATGTATGAACATCCACTACCCCATATCATCCCGTGGGTGTCGTAAGATGCGACAGAGGGAAACAAATCAGGAGGTGGGCAGCAGCGTCTTCCTAATAACGACTAAAAATAAAAAAAAATGCGGTTGCCAACCCGCTTGCCAAGCGTGGCAACGATGGTAATACCCCGCTATGAGACACGCTTTGGGGAAGGCCCATGTTCAAGCAGTGGACTTAAAGGCTGTAATGGATGGATGTATAGAAGCTTATCTACCAGGAGCACATGACCCACTGAGAGGTGAAATTATTAAATTAACAGTAACATTACAACTATGGCAAATATCCTCCCTATGAGGCAATCTATGGGGGAGGCCTATGTTCAGCAGTGGACTTTATAGGCTGTAATGGGATGGATGTATAGAAGATAATCTACCAGGAGCACATAACCCATTGAGAGGTGAAATTATTAAATTAACAGTAACATTACAACTATGGCTAATATCCTCCCTATGAGGCAATCTATGGGGGAGAGGCCTATGTTCAGCAGTGGACTTTTATAGGCTGTAATGGATGGATGTATAGAAGATAATCTACCAGGAGCACATAACCCACTGAGAGGTGAAATTATTAAATTAACAGTAACATTACAACTATGGCAAATATCCTCCCTATGAGGCAATCTATGGGAGTGGCCTATGTTCATCAGTGGACTTTAATAGGCTGTAACGGTAGCGGTAACAAGCACACTGATCTATATAAATAAAATGTCATCATCACGGAACAGCTATAGAATAGATTTCAGTTACATTTTCTAAGTTATATTTCTTAGATACTAGGCCCTTATTTAAAAAAAAATATTGCGATATCTTCATTTAATATAAAGTTATTAAAGTTTTTAGAAACAGCTATTTTTATATAAGCACTACGTGTTCAGTGAACATGATATGCAAGGAATAACATTGTTTACAAAGAAATTTTGTAAGCCAAGTATATTTTTGCTTGCGATCTTTTAGATGTTTTTTTCTTCGCTTCTACAAAAACTTTGTTAATATATCAAGTAACGCGGACGAAGTCAGCTAGTATAAAATAATTAATTAATTTGTGTGAGTACCTCTTTGGGTAAAAGCCTCCTCCAAGATGTTCCAATTTTCTCTATCAGTAGCTGTGACTGTATGTTACTTCTAGAAGAGACGTGATGATAGATATTCAAGAGTTGAAAACATTTCTTGTTAAGGGTAATACATCCATTAGAGTCTATGAAAGTCCACTGCTGAACATAGGTCTCATCAAAGATTTCTTCATAGGATTTTCCCATAGGTGCCACGCTTGGCTGTTGGCAACCGCAGTTTTTTTTATAGGATAAGGGTGACAAACGAGCACACAGTCCACCTGATGGTAAGTGGTTGCTGCGACCCATAGACATCTACATCTATCCTCTGTTACAAATCAAAATGTAGATGCGTTGTCACCCGTGAGGACTAAGATGGAATGCCTCATTTCCAGTAAAAAAGGCCTCCGGCCACCTGCACTCACCAAGCGAAACACAGAGGTAAACCTCTACTTCACGCTGGTTTTCTGTGAGGTCGTGGTACTACCCCGGTTCGAGCCGGCCCATCCGTGCGACAGCAAAAGCTGCCGCGTGGCTCTACCACTGTTAAAAATGCTGCCTATATCCTGCTTCAGTTTTCCTATATTTCATAAGAGACAGTGGAAATTCCTACACCGCAACTACAAGGTTAAGAACTATATTTACTACCTATTAATTTCTCATTTTCTATCTACTTCAAAAAGGAGACTGTACTCAATTCGACTGTGTTTTTTTATGTGTGTTACCTCATAACTTTTTACTGAGTGGACCGATTTCGATGATTCCTTTTTATTTGAAAGCTGGTACATCACATGTGGGCCCGTATAAACTTGATCAAGGACTGACCAATAGTTTTTGAGTTATTCTTAATAATTTATATTGAAGTCGGTTGTACAAAATTTTTAATTATTTAAATCTCTAATTCAAAATGAAATATAGGGTTGGATTTAGAATCGTTTAGCACGAATTTGGCGGAGTAAGGTGTTTTATTTGGTAGAGATTTGGTCCGCGATTATAATAATACAACTCACATTAAAAGGTTTATCGAATTAATTTATTAATTAATTTACCTTTATCGAAAAAATTAATAAAAACTATTATAACCTAAAAAGCGTAAAACATGGAAAAATTACTGTGAAAGCTAGATAGCATACGGAATTTTGTGTAAGTGCGACAAGGACGTAAGACTAGTGTCACATTATTCTACTGTCTACTCTCTGTCAAGAGATATTTCACTAAAGACAATAGAGAAAATTTTACCGACTGATACTGATATATGAATATTTATGGAGAAGAGATATTATAAGGAATAAAAGAGATCCTTTTGAGGAGTTAATAAAAAAAATTAATTTGCAGACAATAAAGAAATGATTATAATATACTGTTTTATTTCTGAATTGTTTAAAACTGCCCAGAAACACTTGAATACCCAGAAATAATTTCAGTTGTAATAGGTTAGAAGTTTGCGGCGGGAGCGAAGGCAACCTGACTTTATAGATAAGATATCTGATCTGATCGAATCTGTGCTAAAATGAAACCAGCCCGACCCGACTCCACGTAGTCTTGTCTGCCCTACTCCTAGAGTGTTTTTGTAAAGCCGTAGGCGCGGACGGAGAGCAGCCCCCGCCCGCTGTAGCAAATCACAGGCACCCATGCTCACCTCCGCAGCTTTGGCTGATTTGCTACAGCGGGCGGGGGCTGCACTTCCCGCAGCGGCGAAGCCGTTGTAGAAGTAACTTTGAGTCAATATTCCTGTGTAAAAAAGTGAGGTTATGATTTTACAAAAAAAATCATTACTCATAAACAATACTTTTCCGCAACGAGGGAAGGGTAGAGGGCCTTTCCTGATAGGGCACACTCCTGCTACCCCCCCCCCCCCCTGCCGGAAACGATAAATACTACTTTCAGGTTAGGTCTATGGGATTTTCTTTTTGATTTTTCTCAAGAACGGTGTATTACCTTTTAATGGGAGTGGTGTCAGGATTAAGGGGACGCTCCCCCCTCCCCCCCCAACCTCAGCTCCCTCTTCCTGCCAAACGAATCTAAATTTCAACTGAAATATATTTTTATGTTTAATGGACACAAGTGGTAAAATTAAAAATTTTATACAACCGACTTCAATATAAATAAAATGAGAACATCATTAATGTAGTCGGAAGTCAATTAAATACGCATTATTATGGATAACTCAAAAACTACTGGTCAGACCTTGATCAAATTTATATGGGACCACATGAAAAGCAAAAAAAAGAATCATCGAAATCGGTTCACCTAGAAAAAAAGTTATGAGGTAACACACATAAAAAAATATACAGTCGAATTGAGTAGGTACCGTCTCCTTTTTAAAGTAAATTAAAAATAAAATAAAATGTATCTGAAAAACATAACTCTCTTTCTAGGTTATTCGGTAAATGCTGTTAATTCCTGTTATAGATTTGTGGGTCTGTATAATGTTGATGACAGTTACGACTTCCGAATATCATTGAAGTTATTAACTCAGTAGATAATATATCGCTAAACGTACATAGAAATAAACAGACACAACTTATTTCTAATAAAGTGCCCATGAGGCAAGATTTTTTGTAGAATGCATGCTGACAAACAAACATATTGTTCAAGTGATGGTAAGAGATGTGACCCATAGACGCTTACATGTACCCTCGATTAAGAATCAAAATGCAGACGCTTTGGCACCCTCGAATGTCTCGAGCATTGAGCTGCTATTTTACGCTGGAAAGGAGATTATAGTTTTTTGGAACGAAGTTCTTTATTGGACGGTACGGGTTTGGTGGATGGGAGCTAGGCGACAAAAAGTG